TCCTTCTTCCTTCTTCCTTCTTCCTTCTTCCTCGTTCCTCGTTCCTCGTTCCTCATTCCTCGTTCCTCATTCCTCGTTCCTCGTTCCTTCTTCCTTCTTCCTTCTTCCTTCTTCCTTCTCCTTCTCCTCTTTTCCTCCTCCTCCTTCTCTTCCTGCTCCTCCTCCTCCTTCTTCTTTAACATTCAGTAATGTTGAGAAGTATGGTTAGTATTCATTATGACACCTGGGAATTATTAATTGTCAAAAGACAAAAAAATTTTTTAAAAATTTAAGCTGACTTGAATGTCATTTAAAATAATTTCAAACAAATACTTTATAGCAGATGCAAAGATAAAATTAACTTATAAATAAAAGCACTCAGAAAATAAAAACATCTCTTGAGCTGAAATCAAAAAGTGTAAATTTAAAATTTTACTCTTAGAAAATTCTCCCAAACTTGTTATCAACTTTTTCACTTGTATGAATAGTGAAGCTTTCCTCACAATGTTCTTGTGTGAACAACATAAGGTTAATGTGCTTAAAATTCTTAAGTGTAGTACACGTTTACATGTTCTCTTATGTGCTCTCGTGTTCTTTACATGTTACTCTACAGAGCACCTGAGCTGTGGCAAGCTTGGAGCCAAGGGCATGGAGTAATAGTTCATGCCAGTTTGGATATTTATCTACTCCTAGATACTTCTATTTTCCATTTATCATCATCTTTCATGAATATAAAACTAAAGTATAAAGTAGTAGTCATTTTTTAATCTGTTTTGATTGTAACCTTTGACAAAAATTAGTAAAAAAATGTGTAGGTTCCTTTTCTTTATTTGGAAACCAACGTATTGTTAGAGAAATACGTCTTTTTAAAAGCTTTCATTTAATTATTTAAGGAGAATAGAATGTCATCAAAAAGAAATAAAAGTTTCAACTGGTAATAAAGTATACAAATGTTGTAAGCATAAGATGTCTATTTGAAGTAACGTATAATCTTGTTTTTAATGTGATTCCACAATTTATTCTCCTTTAGTCAAACTTATTTTAAACATTATTATACTGAGAACTGTTTTACTTCCTTAGTTTTCTCACTGAAATTCTATAAAAAAATAAAGTTTGTTTTCTTGTCATTTATTCAAAACTCATTCACATTTCAAAATAAATGCAACAGTTTGTGTCCATTATATAAGTGAGGTAATTATTTAACTTCTTCAAGAAGTTGTGAGTAGCTTATTCTAAACCATTGGGAATGTATACTGTAGTAACTGTGAATCAAAGGAAAAATATATGAATTATTTAAATTGCTAAGCAATTAACAAAATTAACTTGTAACTATGAACCAACAATAAAAATAAAACTCATATTATTGATCAAGTAAAACTGAAACATAACTGAGCCAAAATTTAAAACAACCATCATTTTCAAGTATCCTGGATGCACAGATATAACATGCCCATACTTGATTACATGCTGACATTTGTCAGGATTACTAAAAGTCATTTGCATCTAGTGCCAAGTAAAACATCTGGGGGTGGGGCTCAAAAACTTCCCTTTTTATTTATCAGAAAGTTTTATCTGCAATTAATTAAGGAAGCAAAACTCTATTAAAGATAGGAGAAGGATTTGTTTATTTTTCTATGTGTTTGCCTGTAACCTAGATACTTCTTTTCTACAGCTTCTCCACTCTAAGTGTCTGTTTCTTCACTTACACTCACATTCCTGTACACATAAATTATAGTTACCTAGGTAGGAAAGTAAACTCAAGTTGATGTAACAAAGGCAGTTTTGATATAATTTTCCAAATGCTCTGCAGAATTTGAATTTTATGACAACCCAGGAATGTGTCGTAAATCTTTCCTAATTTCTTATTCCTATTTGTAAAATTAAACTATTTTAAAAAATCTATGGTTTGTTCACTTTTTTTTTTTTTGGTGCATGTTAACAGGTTTGTACAACATGGCAATTAGACATTTCTATACCTCATGAAGTGATCACCCTGATAAATCTAGTACACATCTGACACGATATGTAGTTAGTACAATATTATTGACTATATTTCTGATGCTGTATTTTATATCCCCCTGACTATTTTTATAACTCACAATTTATACTTTATCTCTTTCAACTCTTTCACCCATCCCCAAACTCCCTTCCTATCTGGTGACCAAAAATTTGTTCTCTGTATCTCTGAGTTTGTTTTTGTTTTGTTTGTACATTTATTTATTTATTTATTTATTTATTTACTTATTTGTTTGTTTGTTTGTTTGTTTGTTTGTTTCATATAAAAGTAAAATTGTATGGTATTTGTCTTTCTCCATCTGATTTATTTCACTTAGCATAATACCTCTAGATACATTCATGTTGTCACAAATGGTAAGATTTCATTATTTTTTATGGCTGAGTAATATTCCATTGAGTATATGTACCACTCTTCTTAATCCATTCATCTATCGATCGACACTTAGGTTGCTTTCATATCTTGGCTATTGTAAATAATGCTGCAATGAACTTAGGGGTGCATATGTCTTCTCAAATTAGTGTTTTGGATTTTTTTGGATAAGTACTTAGAAGTGAAATTGCTGGGTCATAAGGTATTTTTCCTTCCTTCTTTCTTTCTTTCTTCCTTTATTTATTAAATTTTTTTAATTGAACAAATCAATTAAATTTTCCCCCCATCTCCCTCCTACCCTCCCCCTTTCCCTCTACCCATTGGTAACCACTAGTCCATTGTCCATGTCTATGAGTCCCTGTTAGTCTTGTTCATTTGTTGCTTTTAGGTTTATATCTCACATATAAGTGATATCATGTGATTTTCAACTTTTTCTGTCTGGCTTATTTCACTTAGCATGATTATCTCAAGGTCCATCCATGTTGTTGCAAATGGCAGTATTTCATCTCTCCTTATGGTTATTTCATCTCCTTATGGCTGAGTAATATTCTATTGTACCACTGCTTCTTTAGCCAATCATTTATCGTAGGACAATTCGGTTGCTTCCATGTCTTGGCCACTGTGAATAATGCTGCTATGAACATCAGTGTGCATATATCTTTTCGGATATGAGTTTTCAAGTCTTTGGGATAAAGACCCAGTAGAAGGATTGCTGGATCATATATGGTAGATCAATTCTTAGTTTTTTGAGGAAACTCCATACTGTTTTCCATAGCGGCTGTAATTGTGGTTTTGATTTGCATTTCCCTAATAGCTAGCGATACTGAGCTGAGCATCTTATATTCATTGGCCATTTGTATGTCTTCTAGAGAGAAGTGTCTGTTCAGATCCTCTGCCCATTTTTTGATCAGACCATTTTTTCGCAGTTGAGTTGT